TTTGCTAAACAAAATGGAAAATAAGCCTGATTAATGGTGGGAGCATATTGTTTGCAAAGACACCAAGATACATTTGTTTGGCTCAGATGGGGTCCAGCTTGTTTGGTGTGAACCTGTGAACGGTGAATGCATGGTCCTGACAGTGAAGCACGGAGGGGGGCCGCATGAGTACAAAATGTGTTTTAGAGGTGACATTAGTTGGTGACATCATGAATTCTTGTGAATATCAAAATACTGACTGGAACAATGAGTCCCAGTCTGCAGAAGCTTGGCAGAAGAGGAATGTTCCAGCATGAATGTCCAGAGCGCACTAGTAAAATCACGTGAGTTTTTGAAAAAGGAAAAAGAAAAAAAACAGGTCTTTCCAAGCATGCATCCAGCAGAGCACCTGTCGGGTGTTTTAAAGAGAAGTTAGTGCAACATAACCCCTCCAGCAAAGAGCAGCTGAAAAAAAAATTGAATGGCATCTTCAAAAATCTGAGCTCCACGTGTAACCTCTATGCTGAAATCTTTGTGGACGTACTAAAAAATATGTAAGATTTGAATCTCAGTAAATTGCCTTTTTCATTTCACATAAGAGCAAATTCCCTGCCATTCAAATACAAGGTGAAGCAGTTTTGAATTATCTGACATTAAATTGATATTACAGTTGTGTACTTGCTTCTGTTGTATGCTCTACATCACACTATTAGACCAACCATCATCTTCATACAGTATGTCAGAAACTTGTCACATAATCCATAGTAGGAGATTTACAGGTCTTTTTTGTCTTTTTCGTCTTCTCTGTATGGTGATTTTACAGTCTTCTTCTGGTTTTATTGGGGCTGCAAGGTGGCGCGGTTGGTAGCAGAAGAAGAAGGTCGCCGGTTCACGTCCCAGTGGGGGCACCGGGATCTTTCTGTATGGAGTTTGCATGCTCACCCCATGAAGTTTTCTCCAGGTTCTCCAGCTTCCTCCCACACAGTCCAAAAACATGTTGAGGTTAATTGGTGATTCTAAATTGTCGGTAGGTGTGAATGTGAGTGTGCTTGGTTGTCTGTCTCTAAGTGTAGCCCTGTGATAGACTGGCGACCTGTCCAGGGTGTCCCCTGCCTCCCACGACCCTAGTGAGGATTACGCTATGTATGGACAATGGATGGATGGATGGATGGTTTTATTGTTAAAGACTTGGATTCAGCAAAGTGTCAGAAACTTTCTTAGTTACTAGTTTTGATGACCAACTTCCCTCTCCTCTTTGTGAGACACCTAACACGATCTGCCGCTGCACAGCAAGAAGCATTTGTCTGCAGTCTGGCTTTACTGTTCTCATGTGTTTGTGACACGTCGGAGCCAGCAACTCTGGCAACAGCATGTCCATCGTGCTCACATTTGCTTAATCCTGCCCTGTGTATTGTACTGCAATGCTCAGTTGGACGATTAATTAAACCTCTTGCCCAATCTCCGTGTTTTATTTTAGCAGCTTTATTCATTTGTGACTCACGGCTTTTTATTTATCCAGTGTGTGACTTTGAGCTGTTTGCGTAAATGTGGAGGCGTATCTAATCAAGTGGATTCAGACTTTATATCTCAGATTTACCTACGTATCTGAGTCAGTGTCTCTACAATGGGATTCAAAGAGCTTTCAGTGTGCTGCTGACAATACGTCTCCATTGACTCGTGTTCTCTTCAGGCTGCTTCTGTCCTTAACCTAAGTTGAGAGACATCCTTTGCAAGGGATAAAGAGAAGCATAGAAAATGAAGATAGAGACCAAACAGACTTCTTTTTGAATTTTTTGGTGTTAACTTTGAAAAAAAAAAAAAGAGAGAGAATAGCTGTATACATGTAAACTGTATTTCAGAGTTCCACCTACTCCACCAGATGTCTCAGATTTTATTGGCAACGTGGATGTGTAACTGAGCTGAACTGAAGTGAAACAAATTGAACTGAATTGAACTAAACTAAAAATCTAATGAAAAGGAATCGAATCGTATCAAATCAAAGCGAGCAAATTTAATTGAGGTGATCCCAGCCGAACTGAAATGAAACTGTAGTGGTGGTCAGTGACACCGAGGGTCACTGAGGTAGACGGGGAGTGCAGTGGAAGGAGGAAGAGGGGAGCTGGACTCTACAGTTTAAGCCGAGTGCTGCGCCATTTGAGACAGATTGTAAGTGACAAGCTAATGACTGTGGCCGGTAGGAGCCCGGCAAGCCGGAACACAATTCACAAGCGACACGAGTAAAGAGCAAGTCTTTTACGCATCTGGTCCCGCTTTCTTTACCCTCCTTGAGTGGTCCTTTACAGCACACCAAGTGAAAATGCACACTCAGCTCAGGTACAATTAATTCACCACTATACATGTGTTGCCAGAAAACCATTCCTTTCCAATCTCTTGTTCGACACTGCCTTACCAGTTCAGGCCATTACTTCCACCGAGTCTGTCCCACTGGAGCTCGAGTCCATTTGCTTACCAGCCAGCTTTTTCCACCAGTCCTGACGGCTGCTCGGCTTGACATGTTGAGCAGCTATAACCCTGATAGCTTACAGCCATTTTCCTTTTTTCTTTCTCTGCTCTCCTGGATGGTAAACTACTTAATTTGGTCCCCATGAAAAAGGGATTGGGTTTTTTGTTGCTGCCAGAGCCCTGCGTGCAGTTGTTTCTGTGGCCTCTGATGGCTTTCAGCGTCTGCAGATTAAGTCTTGTGACACTCGAGGCCAGTGGGGGAGTCTGGACTGTTGCTGTTGGTTGTGAGACAAGAAGCTGTATTTCCTGCCAGTGCTGGACTCTAATCTAACAGAGAGATTTTCTGTTCAGCACTTCTATAGGACTCATTAGAGAGCCCTTTACTGGCCTGTTCGCATAGCCACTTTTGGACATCAGAGTGCGCCTGGCGGTGTGTGTTGGATGCGCCTGTGCACGTGCGCGTACAAACCAGGCGTGTGTGTGTGTGTGTGAGCGTCTGAGTGTCCCACCTGTTCCCACTCACTGGAGCGTTAGCGGATGTGTATGTGTGCACTAAGGGCCATAAACTCACAACTACTCTCAGATGAGTGATATAACCCTGCAGGATAGGACACATCAGCCACGTCCCCCCACTGTGTGAGAGCTCCACCTGCTGGCTCAGCTCCACTCATTTCTCTTCACCTGACCGGAGGAGGAGACGTCCGTCAAAGCTCAAGCCTATTAGCTTCCTGCAGCCATCTGGTGCTATTTCTAGATTGATGTATATGACCGGATCTAAATGAGTCTGCAGAGAGACACATTCATTGGAGGCTCTATTTACTGAAGCGCTCTATGAGGGGAGATGGTATTGATATTTCATTATGAGTCTAATAAAGGGCAGCCAGTATTGAGTTTTCATTAATAGGGTTGGTTTGGTGCAGATTAACATGTCTGTGCACTTCATAATGACTCGGAGAGATGCTAAATGACTCCAGCTGGGTGTTTTAACTAGCCTCAGTGCTTTGAGTGATCTAACAATCAGCTGCATCCTTCACGACTGGGGGGAAAAAAAAAAAAAAAAAAAAAGAGTGGGAGGCAAATTTTGGGACTGAAATTACAGATTAATAGGGTTGGTTTGGTGCAGATTAACATGTCTGTGCACTTCATAATGACTCGGAGAGATGCTAAATGACTCCAGCTGGGTGTTTTAACTAGCCTCAGTGCTTTGAGTGATCTAACAATCAGCTGCATCCTTCACGACTGGGGGGGGGAAAAAAAAAAAAAAAAAAAGAGTGGGAGGGAGAGACAGAGATATAGTGATACACGGGAGCCTGAGATAGAGAACACCGAGCAACCAGGATGTGATGAAAAAGACAGCAGGGGATTAAAAGAGGTACATAATGTGCATTAATAAAGAATACACAATAAACCAGAGGGGAGAAAAAGACATGACTCAAAGAAATGAAAAAGCAAAGAAGGTGCCACCTCAGCAGGAAGCATGATATACACAATCTACAGCTCCAAGACCTCTCGCTGCGTTTATTTTTGTTTCCTCCCAGCAGTCTCTGTCATAAGTGCCTCCGGCCATGAAGTCATTGGGAAGTGTGACCCCGAGTGAATATGGCAAAGTTAGCCTATAGCAACAAACCAACATCAGCCCGTTGGTAGGACGCATTGTGGATGTTCGACAAAGCTGCAGGCCCCGCACAATGAACAGTGGTCTGTCCTTGACGTCCATTCTCTGTCTTTCCCTTTCTTTGCTGTGATACAATGGAGGCCTGGGCCAAACAGATTAATAGGGAGAGAAAGAAACCACAATGCAGGGAGGCTTATATACTGTCAGGATGAAACACACACACACAGACAGATCTCTTCCCAGCACTGAGTCTAGAGACAGACTGAACTTTCAGCACCATGGACAGAGAGTTACTGGAATGTGGACGCGCTGCCTCTTTGTTTTAGATGCTTCATGCGGTCGTGTCCAAACAAAGCTTAATGTCTGATGTTTTTTTTCTGGTCATGGTGCTGTAATAATGCAGTCTGTGCCGCAGTACACTCTGGGGCCAACTCCCCTCTCACTGTAACTGGACTAAATAAGGCCCGTTCACCTCCTGGTATTATCTGAAGCACCGTGGCGCATCTTAACGTGGCGGCACCTCCATTAAAATGAGTGATGATCCGAGTCTGTTCCCACAGCGGAAAGCCAAGACTTTTAGGCAATAATGGATGGGCCTTTTACCGACACACTGCTCCCTCTTTGCAGCTTGGTGTATGTTTGTTTGTGTTTTGTGCATGTGTGTTGGTCATCTGTTATTGAGCTGGAAAGGTGTAGCAGACTCCAGTTGTTCTAGTGGATAGTTAGGTGTTCAAAAAAAGAAAAAAAAAACAGGCGTGAACGTGTGGCAGAGATCCAAGGGAATTGTCTTTCCTGCATTCACTTATGTGTTAATTCATATTGCTCAGTATGTCATTGTCACATGGAAGATATTTACTTGTTCAGTTCTATGTTTGTTTGTAGTGTTGCATTAAAAATACGCATCAGTGAACATGGGTTCTCTTTTTTCTGCTTGTTCTTACAGAAAGTCTCTCAGTACACCATCATTGTCCAGGCCACTGACATGGAGGGAAACCTGAACTTCGGACTCTCCAACACGGCTACAGCCCTCATCTCTATTACCGACATCAACGACAATCCCCCAGAGCTGACAGTCAGGACGGTGAGTCAGCGCACACTCCCAAAACAGTCCAATCGCTCTGATTGTTTTTTAATGGAAAGTATTTTAAACTTTTTTTTTTTCAATTTGACATATAATTTTGAGATATTGGGAGAGGGTACTGAAGCATATTAACGCTCTGAAAGCCAAACACTCTGAGCATGTCTTTTGCTCCTGTCACATTTTTACTCACTGTGGGCTTATTTTTTTTTACTACAATATAAAATCCTGCACCTCTGTGGAAACAACACAAAATAGAGAGAACTCAAAAATCTCCTTTGTGCGGTGTGACAAAAGTATAATGCAATAAATCATATAAAAGAGAAGAACTCAAATTGAATTTCTTTGATTGTGGGTTTAGCTAAACTTGAGGGGGAACAAATGGTATCAGCATGTACAACATTTTGAACAAGTGGACGAAATGGTGGCTCAACATATTATAGATATTTTACTACTTATGTTTGTAATTTGTCACTGTTCTCGTCTCCAATCTGCCAAAAAGTCCCTGATTTTTTGCTTGTTGGTTGCATGTGAGTCATTTCTTGGTTGCACTAAGGAGCATAGAATTATTACTTTTTACAGATTCTGGTGGCTAGGGTGTATTTGTTTGAAAACTCTTTAAACAAGGCGTGTAGGATAAAGTGGTTTTGATTAAATGTCCTCATTTTTAGCCCACATTTGTTTTGTTTTTTTCCCGACCAAACCAGAAGTCGGTTAGTTCAAGGACCATTGCAGAGTGCTATGTCTGGATATTTATTATTTATCTTTTATTTTTGGAAAAACACCCCTTTTAGAACCTCTGGCAGTGTTTTGGGGTTGAGAGCGTTAAAGGGTAAATTTACCTAAATAATTCTTGTAGTTCTGAAAATAATGTGTACCTGTATACCTGAACAGGTAGGTCAGAGTTTCACGTTAGGGCTTGGTTCTGTATCAGTTTCATTTCCATGCTATGCCTGTGCCATAAAGGTGTATGTCTTTATGTAGTGCAGAAGGATATGTTTTTCTTAGGCAGGTTGCACAGGTCTCTAAGTGAAAGACTGCATTCAGATATTATTAGAAAACACATTATCTACTTCATGTCAGCGACAACAATTGTGCGATGTAAGCACTATTGAAATGTGTTGTCAGAGAACACAGAAGTGATACAACAGCTGACAAAGCTGTAGGATAAGGGCAGACACATGAGGAGAAATGGATGCAGAATACAAAGCAGTGACAGGAGAAAGGTGCTGATCAAGATCACTTTTCTTCACGCTCCTTCTCTGTACTTTTGCTGCTTGCAGTGCCTCTGGTGGTTGAGGTTTGTCTGGAGGCATCAGACCTCAGTCCCTGATATCTGCACAATGATCTGACAGGAAGCCACAACACAGTTGGCCCACTTTTCTGTAGTGTGGTTAGGTGGAGAGTTTCTTGGTTTAGGAGTGAGAACAACAGCATGAAAGGTAATTGATGAGGAAACTTGTATGTATAACTTATTTATTCTCAGCTTGGTTGTACAGCACGATCAAACGCTGACCGCTGTCTCACAGACCTACAGGGTTGCGGCTGCTCTTTATGCGAGCGTTTGGATGTATAAGATTCCAAGAGAGAGACAGATGCTGTTTGCAGCAAAGCTCGGAGGCAGAGCGAGCACTGTGTCAGTGTCACACACTGTGATCCCCGTCTCCTCGGCGGGGCTGTCTTCAGCGTGCATGCCAGTACAGTTCCAGCCGCATGCTCTGATAAGAGCTCCCCAGCTGTCAGAGGTAGAATTCAAAGAACAAGACTGCCGCTCTGCTCAGAACCGGTCTTCATCCCTCGCGTCCCCATCTGTGCTGATGGCTCCTTCACTTCTCCACACTGAGGAGGAGATCTGGACCAGAGTCCCTCCTCAAGCCAGGAACAGACATGTTACGATTTAAGAGCAAAAACACATGGACATTTATATACATGTGTGCTCATACAAACTGTGATAAATGCTCTCTATTATTTAGTAGGGACTGTACAAAAAGAAATTAGAGGGTAGGAAGAGCCAGAAATGATGCTGTTATGCTTTTTTTTTTTTTATTTGCTGGAGGAAGGGTGTAGTCTGAACATTTTCTCATCTTAGCTTCCACACATAGTCCCTCGGTTTGCCTGCATAAACGAGCTTGTCAGCAATTCACCAAATTTTGGCTTGTGACTCAAATGTGGTAATGAGTAAAACGGAATAAAAAGGTGTTTTGTTTTGTCCTTCACTCAGACTCCGACAGCCACACACCCTGGCATTAACATCCACCGCACAGACATAGTTCTCCACCAGATGCTGCTTCCACTGCTTTGTCAATCTCGACTACTTGTTTTGCTTCCCACACAAACAACGAGACTTGGAGCACTTCAGTAATTATTTGTGTATGACAGACGCGAGAAGAATTCATTGCTCTCTGCAGGAGGCATAGAGAAAACATAAGCACGTTAATTAAGCGAAATTGCTTGCGGGGGTGTAAACCAAGCTGATATATTGCGGCTAATTTGGGGGAAAGGAAAAAAAAAATCCCAAATGTTTTATTCATTTCACCACATGGGCCTGGACGTGCTATGTTACTGCTATGTTCGTCATTATGTGATAAACTGAAAGACAATGGTGCTGCCACAGTCGGTCTAATCAAACTATTTAATCAAGTGTATCACATCCTCCGAAGTGTACTGTGCTCTGCCGTTGACTAAACAATGATTAGGAGCAGGAGAGTTGCTCAGAAGAGTTGCGGGCCTGAAAACACCAACTCGCAGACACACAAGCTGAAAGTTGTGAATAGTTTATGATTCACCTGTAGAGCTGCAGCTGCTAAACAGCTGAAAGAGTCGCAGTGCCACAGATTATCACTTTCCTCTGCTTCGACTTTCATCTTTGTTTAAATAGAGGAGACACCGGCTTGACATTTGCTATAAGATGAAAAATGAGTGTGAGGGTAGACACCTGTTGCCAGTAGCTATGTTTTTATTGCGTAATGAAGTGAACACATAAGAGCCTTTCTAAGTGCACTGATGTCAGTCTCATATCTGTAGGGGTCTGTTTTAGGTCATTTAGTCCTACATAATGTAGTCATTACCATTTGGCGTTGTTTTCAGCACACCATGAAGGGAAGAAAGAGCTCTTAAGTGTTGTTTCGCTCCAGCTCAGCCCTCTAAAACAGCGCATTTTCATTTAGTCAGTCAGTTTTCAGTATATGGTAGATTTGCCCTGCTGTGCAGTAGCCTTGATACAAACACTTGTTTTTTAAGATAAGGATGTGGGCTGTATGCAGCTCTGCAGCCTCACTTATTTGCCTTGATTGGACTGCAGCTCAAATGTTTGAAGGTTAGCTAAAGAGGAAAATAAAACAAGACCCCGGGATAACGCTTGAATATGCCTTAAATAGTGACCGACAGAAAAGTCATGTTGTAACCGGCCACCAACTATTAGCCTGAGATGCCCCGTCTGCTCTCATATTTAGCCTCCCAACATTCTTTAAAGCCAGGTTGTGTAACTTGTGAAAGAACAAATAACTCATATTGAATGCTACAAATGGAAAACTGAATTCATGGACAATAAAACACAGCCTTGCTCGATTCAACTTGGTCTTTTATGACCAGTAACTTATGGCGACTAACTTTAGATAGATATAGCTGTGTAATGAACATTAATGATTCAGCTCACTAACTTTATGGCTCTTCTGTACTCGTACGGCACCGTCAGGCTATTCTTTTAGATATATTCCGTACATGTGCGACCGAGTCTTTAACACCGACTCTTCTAATGACTGAACGCACCGTCGTCAGCTCGGCCGTGATACAAAGTCCGTGTTAAAGTCTTTATAGAAAGACGATTAAAACCACGGGAAGAATCGTAATGTGACTGTTGTTACAAATATTAGGCTGCTGAGCCATTAACTGCACGTGTGTTGGCTTAGGTGTGCGCTGAGCTAAATGTAGTGGTCTTCTATCAGAATAAGCGTTGGACGTTGCGGCCGTATGAGCAGCGTTCACTTACTGTCGTATGTTCTGAGGTGCATTTAAACAATGATGCGTTCAAACTGCACAGTCAGTGACTAATAATGTTGAATCCAGACTGAAAGAATCAAACACTTTGCTGATTTAAAGTGTTTCAGGTGTTTAAGCATTCACCTTTATCCCTTAACTGACACCATCTTGCTTTAAAAACAAAAAAGAAGCTTATTTAATGTGATATTTAATGAAATATAAATCTTACACTATTGCCTCTAGATTTGCCTCTAATAATAAGACATCTTTAAATAGAAAAAGCAATTTCTGTATAAATCCTTACAAAATTGGACTCAGTAACACTGACAAACCCTCTCTGTGACATTACTCAATTTGAAGTATTATAACTCATTTCCTTAGAACTACACAATCCTTCAGAAACGGCGGGCCTGTGTCTCTAGTGGCTTATCAACGAGTCCACATTGCATTTTAGAGAGTAGCCATTTTGGACGGCCCTCCTCTACAGTCGGCAGCATTGTGTAGTTCCTCAGAGAGAGCATATTGCATTTGGCCGTCTGACAGCGCGGCCAAACAAGTTTGGAAGGTTTGTGGTGGTGTTTATGCTAAAGCTCAGGGTGAAAATGAAATGGAAGAGCCCCGTACACCAGGGACTGAGAGCGCATATTTAATTTGTTGTGTGCTTATCGGCCCGGCAGGGGGACACAAGAAGAAGAAGAAGAAGAAGAAGAAGAGGAGGCGAGGGAGGGAGGGAGGGAGGGAGGGATTGGGTGGTTTGGATGCAGCTTCAATCCCACGATGATGAAGCCATTAAAGTGAACAGCAGCTGGCAGACACACACCATAAACAAGTTAGAGCTTCAAAAGGGGGGAAACACGGATTATCATGTGACAATGAGAGCTTTTACTCTGTGTGTGTGTGTGTGTGTGTGTGTGTGTGCGCTACCACCTTTGAGTGTCCATCCCTCAGTCGCAAGTAAATCCCCACAGAGACAGACATGTATCCTATTGCACTGTAAATTCCTCTTCAGGCTCTGCAGCTGTCACCAAGTTTCCTCCAGAGTTAGTTCAGAGGGGAGTTGTTTCAGATTGCAGCATAATGAAGATCATTAGCCAAAGATTATTCCTACCGCTGCCTTAATTACAGTACTTATCTAATTGCTTATTAAGACCTAGATTTGGTGAATGCACAGAAACCAAATTAAATGGGTAAACACTTAATTGAACAAATCCATTAGTTCAAATAAAGAGTTTCATATGAGCAGACATTGCATGGAATAAGGGGCTGCATTAACATAATGGCAGATATGATTCTCTATTATCCGCATTTAAACAAATTTGTCTTTTTTCCCTCCTCTCCTTTCTTTCTAATTTCTCCCCCATTTGTTTTGCCACCACTTTCAATTCGTGGTTTAATGTAATGAGCATTATTGGCATGACCCTAAAAACAGTTTGTTTTCATAATAACAATTATGTAAAATGCTAAAAGATGGATGAAGGCACAAGCAAATGTTTAAAATCTCAATAAATCAAGTTATTAGCATGCATTAGCCGGCTGCCGGAGCAACATCGGCATAATGTTATCTCCCTCGTCCTCCCTGCTGTCGTCTCCCCTCCCTCTTCGTTCCTTTGCTTCCTCCCCTCTGTAGTTTTCTGGGGAAGTGCCAGAGAACAAGGTGAACGTGGTGGTGACCAACCTGACGGTGGTGGACAGAGATCAGCCCCACAGCCCCAACTGGAACGCCGTCTACCGCATCGTCAGCGGAGACCCCTCCGGACATTTCACCATCCGAACTAACCCCATCACAAATGAGGGCATGCTGACGGTGGTCAAGGTAAAAAAATGAAGCAGGTTTTCTTTAACCACACGGTCCAGACAAATGTCTCGTAATTTGTTATTTCAAAATGAGAGCATACAGTTCTCAATTATTATTCAGCGCTGCATCTTGTATGTTTCCACCTGCTGTGAAGTGCCAGATGTTGATGACTGAGTACTTTGGTCCCACATTGTTTTCACTGAATTATATGTCATTGCTCAAATTGGAACACAGTTAGAACTAATCATGCAATCAGCTACACTCCATTTTCCTCCCATCAATTTGTTCTCTTTTTCTCTTTAACTCTTTCCTCCTGGGTTTCTACCCCAGCCGGTGGATTTTGAGATGAATCGAGCCTTCATGCTGACCGTGGTGGTGTCCAACCAGGCCCACCTGGCCAGCGGCATCCAGTCTTCGCTGCAGTCCACAGCAGGAGTCACCATCTCCGTTCAGGATGTGAACGAGCCGCCCGTCTTCCCCGTAAATCCTAAGATGATTCGCTTTGAAGAAGGTGTGCCGGCAGGGACGACTCTTACCGTGTTTGCTGCACAAGACCCTGATCACTTCATCCACCAGAGTGTCAGGTACGGTGGTTCAAAGTTTTGGAAATGCATCTTTAAACTTCTAATAACAGATATTTTTCCCACTTTAAGGCAGTAAAAATAAGTTGCATGGACAGAATGTACTTAGTTGGTTAACATGTTAGCAAATAGTGACATTAGCAGATCCGGGTGATATGGAGTAACATCCACGTTCATTTGGAGTTGTATTAACGTTTGTGTTGCAGTAGTTCAAGGGAGAAATCCTTCAAAGACCAGAGTCGGCATTCATGTATACCTAGATATTCTGTCCACCTCGCGCATGCATCTTTCTCTGAATGTTGAGTGTCACCAGTGTTTAATCAGAGCTGAGCACTTTTTTCACAGTTTATGCTTCTTCTGTGACATTCTCAACTGACCCCTTCCCCCGCCCACATCCCAGTTACCTCCCCGTTGCCAGGCGACTGATGTGAGGAGGTCATTCAGTAATGAGTTGGACACTGTCTGTCTGCCCTCCTTAGATCCCTATCTTCCTCCTCATTGATCCCTTCCTCCATCCTTCCTAACTGGGATGACACACAGCGGGCAGTGTGCCATCCAGGCATTGAGCCTGTGTGACAGAAACTCCCACATGCCCACTAAGGTCCAGCGGCACCGTTCCACTCCATCGCCAGCTCCAACGAGAGAGATTGATTTTTCTTAATGTCAGTGAGATGGCCATGTCCACTGAGAAACACAGTGGAAATGTTACTGAATTGATAGCGAGGGTGTTAGTGGGAGATGTACTCGTATATGTACTGTACAGAAGAGTGAGCAATATCCACATCTCAGATTTCTCCTCCTAAAAAGACATGTCATGCAAACCAAGTGGGCCGAGCCCTCCTGCCCTTTGAAAGAAGTAACTCCTCTTTTACTACCCTCTCTCTCATCCCTCCCCAACTCCCTCTCGCTCCCACTGACCCTGTCACTTTCTTCCCTGTCAGTCTGTGTGTCTGTTATTGATGGGAGCTCAGAGCTGCTGTCTTCTCCAAAGCTGCTTGCCAGCAGCCGCTCAGCTCGCGACAGCCTCATCTCTGCTGCTGCTGTATTCCCTTTAGGCGACCTCGCTTGAACCCCTGCACAATACACACACAAAAGACGCCGAAATGCACAAACGGAGACTCGTAGACACACACGCGAGCGTGCACGCCGGCACCCACAGAGCACGGCTGAAAGACCTGTGCGTGAGCAGTGGATGGGAGAGGAGCCAGCTTGTGTTTTTGAATTTCTTGCCTCTTTTCTCTCTCTCTGGAGGAAAGCAAAGAGAAGATGATGTGAGGCCAAGCCTGTTTGCCAGTTGATTTTACTGTTTGATGTGATTTAAGTGGCAGCAAGACTGAGCTAATGTGTATTTGTATGTGTGTGTGTTCTTGAATTTCTGGTGAGGATTTTAATATTAGCCTTGGAGAATGAGGACATTTTTGTGATCTGAGGTCACGTTGGTGGCGCCTGACTTAACAAGGTCTTATTTTAGAGTTTGGATGTGGGATTAAAGGTGTACTCCAGCAATTTAGAGTCGCACTTTTTTTTTTTTTTTTTTTTTTTTTAAGCCGGGGGACTCACCAGAGACAGATTAAAAAAGAATGTTGAAAAATTTAAGCAGCCGAGGCGAAGATATGCAGATTTTTAGTCTCTGGTGCAGATCACGCTCCAAATGCCCTGGATCCTGAAATTTCCATGCTGCAGCCCAGTGGTGTCTTACACTGGATCCTCAAGGCCTCCTGCAAATTGCAAGTTCCTTGTTAGACTTTTTATGAACAAACTGTTCCATAACAGAAATGCTACTAGCAGTGTTTGGGATTTGGACCGTGTAGAGCTGTGTGAAGTGTGCTATCAACATCAGTCATAGATATAGCGGATATGACGGTTTACAGCTGGGTTCTCTCAACACCTCAAACAGAACTAAGATGTCATTTTCTCGTGTGAGCTGTATTAAGCGATCGAGACTACATTTTTTATCATAATTAAAGAGGGCTTAGGGTCTGCACAACCCCAAACTGAGCATTAAGTTAAAAGCTAATGGCACGACGCTTGTCAGACAAGGCGTCCTCAGAAGTATAGTAAGACATTTTGTTCCTCCAGCGTGAAATGAACACAGCAGGAGGTGACATCTTGTTGGCGCAGGAAGGAGATGAGAGTGCCAGGCATGCCACGCAAACACCACAATCTAACCTGCAGGGCAACATCAGACCTTGACTAACGCAGCGTGACACATTCTTTCAGTGAGGCCTCTGTTTATTTTCATCTGTTCTGTTTATTTTCTCGAGAAATAAACTGTGGCGATACAGAACGATAATAGGTGTTCCTGTCTGTCTAATAGAGCTGTTTGTACCTGTCCAGAAGTGTGTGGATTTAGTTTTCTGAATGCCGGTGAGCCTCTGGCTAACTGGCCTCAGCCTCCAGCGTACATTTTTTTAGAAATTCAAGCTACCTTCATTGCATTTTACCCAGCACGCGTATACAGAGACATCTCTATCACATACTCCCTTTTTCTTTTCTTAGTTTCTCACCACGCCGACCGCCGTGACACGCTGACTATCTATGTGCTTGTGAACTCCTCCTCGTCCACAATTAACTGTTTCTCATTAGCACTTCCGCCGCTTGGCCATTTGTTAAAACTTCTTCATTGTCGCTAATAGGCTTTATAGGCTTTAATAATCGCAGCTGTCACTTTAAACTTTGCGAATGTGTCTACGGTGATGAGAGGTGGTTCGACGGCAGTGTGGGTACAAAGAGCAGGGAAGTTGTTAAGAACGCTGCTTTGCTCCTCTGCATATGGGTTCAGGTTTTCATCGGTCCTCATGCTAATGAGCTGCTGCTATGATAAGCTCGATGAACATATGTTCCGCTCTCCATGTCATTGTAATATTTCAAAGGTGCTTGGCTGGTATTGCTTATTATGGTAATGAACTTTCAACCTGATAATGAGTACTTTGGATCGACAAATAGAAGATTTAGAGCTGCTGGCATTCAACTAACAGTAGGCAGCGAAAGTCATTATGTGGAATATGTATGTGTATATTCAGCTTTGGATTAAATGAGCTATCTGTTTTTCTCATCATCTTTCCATGTGTGTGTGTGTGTGAGCAGGTACTCGAAGTTATCAGATCCAGCTAACTGGCTAAAGATCAACAGGACCAATGGTCAGATCACCACCATGGCCCTGCTTGACCGAGAGTCCATGTACGTCAAAAACAACGTGTACGAGGCCACGTTCCTGGCATTCGACTCTGGTAAGTCTGGTAAGTCAGGATGACTGTGTATGTTGTAATGATCTGATTAACAGCAGGACGCATACAGGAGGGCAGGAGCACATTTCAGCCAGTTGGGGATGCCGCTTTGGTCCACGCTGAAATGTCTGGACTCCTATTAAACGTGGCTCGGATATTCATGTTCCCCAGGGAATGTCTCCTAAGGACTGAAAAATGATCTGTTTTCCTCTAGTGCCATCATGAGGCTGATCGTTGTAGTTTTGACTGAAAGATTTCAAACAACATTGGACTGACTCCCCTGAAATTTGTTCCAACTCAAGACGAATAGTTACAACTTTAGTGATCTGTGGTGAACGGCAAGTTTTATTTACGATATTAACATGTCCATATGGGTTTCTTTATGTGCTAAAAGGCAGATTTTGTACAAACCAAAGGAACCAGTCCTGTCGAAATGCAGGGTGGGACTTTCTGAATCTTTATTTTTCTTTTATGTATGGCTGAATTAAAACATATTATACATCACAGCTTTACGTTGTCTAGCATAGAAGCAGTTTGAGCAGAGTCATAAATGAGCTGGTGTGCTCGAGCTGCAAAGAGAGGCCAGGACAATGTAGAGCCACGCGTTCTGGAGACAACAATGACGTAGAGTTACATTTGAGCCATTTGAAGGCAGTGATGGATTATTTTCATGGACAAAACTTTTAAATACAAGTTTTAGGGGTTAAATCAATGATCAGAGAGGAACTTCTGCTCACAGCACCACTGTGCTGACTTATTGACTCAGTGCTGCTTGTTTATTTTCATTGCTTACAACAGCAAGTAGTGGTCATTTTAATCTTTCGCTATCCATTATCACAGAATCAAAGTATTGTGGTACAGACAGGAGATTAGTGTACCAATTGTCCAAGTGGATAACGGTGTAATCAAATAACATGCTGTCTCTGATGTATTTCTTACTAGTTTGGAAGGGATCATACATTATTATTATTATTATTGTTGTTGTTATTGTTGTTGTTGTTGTTACCAGAATTAAATCTATACTGTATTATATTTAATTCTCTATCTACAGGGAAGGTGTTTCTTATCACATAATAGTGCCGACTCACTGTAGAGACTTATATACCCTGGAACGCTCCCCTCAAATTAAGTCAAGTCAATTTCATTTACATCCTATAAAGATGCCTCAGGCGGCTTTACAACGTGTGCAGCAGTGATGCTCATCTTACGGCCCACAGGCCTGATTTGGTTCCACAACAGGATACCGTCTGGCCCCACCCTCCATTGTCTAATTTACAATTAAAATAAAATTATTCACAATGGGGTTTTTTTTTGTTTGTTTGTTTATTTGCTTATATAGCAAATGTTCAATAATGTCCCCTTGGCTGTTCCTCGGTTAATTTAAAAAATAATAATTTGAAATATGAGTGAGTTATGGGCCTTTTGATATTTATTCATTTTCTCTGATAAATATTGTTGTTTGTTTATCAGCTGGCCCCTGGCCTTCTGTCATTTTGCAAAAGTGGCCCCGGGCAAAGCAAGTTGAGTCTCCCCGCTGTGCAGCCGGCAGTGCCCTCTGTCCTCAGACTCTCCATTTGGCCAAGGAAAAGATTCTCGAAGAATCCTTTACAGAGGGAAAACAAAATACACACAGAAGAGCAACAATGTGTGTAGAATAAAGTGCAGTAAACTTACATAGTCAATCAGGAAGACAAAACCATACGCAGACTGTACACATATATAATGAATATCTGCCCTAAATGCTGTTTGTTTCACCTCACTATTAAAGAAACACATTTGTCTGTCTAGTCAATTTGTATTTGGCAAAGGCTATTACCGGTGACACAGGTCCACATAAGACATGAGTGATGGTATAAGTTAGTAGCACTAAACACATTATTGTACTGAGAATATGAATATGAAAGTTGTTTTAAAGAGCAAACCTACACACAAACAAGCAAACAGTTTTTGGAATTTTGGCAGGAAATTCATGAATGGAGGTTGCCAGTTATAAATACGGTATATCCTTGCCAGACACCCTCTAGTGTGGGTGCATTGTCAGTGATTGGAATGCTGTATTCAAAGACTGTATCGTGTACTGTATATAAAACCATGCTGGCCTTCACGGACATGCCTCTAAGAGAAAAAAAAAAAGAATAACATCTGTCAGTGAAGGTCCTGAGCATGAGCCTCGGCTGCTACAACAATGTACGAAGATAAAGAACTGAAGCAGTACAAATAGAGATCCTTGCTCTGTGTGTAAGTAGGAGGGACCCAGGTGTTTTTACTCCAGTGAGGAATGAGGGATTGGTTGCCCTGAAGCACACCAACTTAAGCTCAAAGTGTTGACTGCCTATTGATTCTGGAGCCCAGTGTCAACAAGGGGATATATTCCACTTTGATTGAAATTCTCTTTACTTATTCTACTCAAGCGAAGCGTAAGAAGCAACAAAGCACCCAGCCAATCATAACTGACAAGACGGTCGATGGGCCTTGGGGCCCGGGGCAACAGACCTTTACATAGTTGATGCACCAAGTTACTGTCTGATAGAGGAAAAAAAGTTGAAATACAACACTGATGAACTACTGGAGTAAACTCTTTGTATGCTGCACTGCATCAGTAATTTAGTTCAGCTCACTGACAGTCCGTGTGCAGGGAGTTGTCAACTGCTTATCAAGGCCACAATATATCACTGTTTGTTCAGTAGAGCAGTGCATACACTTTCTTCATCTGTGGTTCAGGATTGGGTTGCTCCGATCGGGAGCAACATCACTGAAAAGGGTTTAGTGTACTTTCAGTGCAGTACTCCAGTGTATTATTACGTAAATACAAGCGGATGCTTTGTATTTTACTCTAAAAGTACAGTATCATCTGCAAAGTATAGAATGAACCTTTTGAGAATGAAGCGTATTTCCTCTGTGTTATGTGGTTGGTAAATTATTACTGTTTGTTATTATTTGTGATGAAAATGGCTTTGAGGAAATTCGGTGTTGATAACTTTCACCAAAATGTAATTGTGACAACTCAAATTTGTTGTATTTATTTATTTACTTACTTACTTACATACTTATGTTTTAAAAGGTTCAGGTAATGACTGAACTTTTAACTATAAACTACCAAAATAATTAATGAAATTTTTTGACTCGCATGTGTAAAGACTTTAGCGAAACACAGTTTATTTCACTAAATAGCAGTTTGAGGATTTAATATACAGCTTTACTATATTGTGACAGTCATCCTTGTTGCAAACAGTATTACACTAAAGAAACCATGCCGGATGCTAATAATGAGGATACTGGTGTTGTATTGATTTCATCAGAGCTGATTCATTAGGTGGTTAAGTTGAGGCTAATTCTTTTTTGTACAGTATAATCTTCCCCTAAAAGTGACCATATATCCAAAGTCACAATGCATTTGTGTAAGACCTGAAAGAGGCTTTAATAGTTAAAAATATGTAGTGCAAGTAAAGCATATGTACTGAGAGGTTGTACTTAATATTAGACTTCAGTATAAATAAAAAACAATGATTTCATCACAACCCTTGACTTTATGTGGCGATATTTACAAATATTTTAATAAGGCCACTAAAAAAAAACCTTATTTGCTGCCTGTGCTGTTTCACACTGGAGTCTGTTCACCATTTTAATTCCTCTCATATGTCTGCCAGTCATTAGAACCATATCCAAGTAAAACAAATGCTTTAAAATGATTGTCATTTATGAATGTTTTGCTCATCACTTCTGAACAATTCTCACCGTGCACAGATTTCTGTCACTGCTTGAGTGACTTACCATTAAAAAAAGCACCTTATCTTCCTCATTAAATGTGTTTACATGGATTAATCAGTATCCTTGTTAGGTTGTGCTTTTGTGTTTGTGCATGTAACCATCAAATCCTCATTTCAGTAATCTGGATATGTGTTTATACCAGTTGTGAGAAACATGAATATGCCAGTTGGAGATGAATCCAGACAGGACATGAAAAATAACGATTTTGTTTTCGTATAGGAAATCAGTCAGTAACAAGCTGATTGAGTGTATATAATTTTGGGACCTTTAAATATGTGTGTAGTGTGTTGGAATCACTAAAACTAATGATACATGTGTTTTTCGTTGTTTCATCGTTTTGTTGTTCGTGTTGTTTTGGCAGTTTTTAGACCAACACTCATTACATACATTTTCACAATTTGGAAGTTGCACCGACTTCAGACAGACCTGAAGTACAAAATCCAGGATTACTTTGAGTTTTTGAAAGCCTGCAGAGCACTTAAAAAACAATGAGGCAATTATCCCCAGCCCCATGTTTTGCAGCATCAACACCAGCAGTGACAGAAAAGCGATATTTCTTTGTCGGTGAAAGAGCAGTTCAGTTACTGTGTGTACTGTAATCAAAGCACATTAAGTTTTTTTTTTTTTTTTCCTGCTGGTAACAGTGCATAAAACATCAAAAATGTGTCTCCCAACCTGATTCGGTTTTGTTCTGGTCTGGCAATCATAAGAAATCCTGAATTAATAATGATGAGCTTGTGCTGCTGGATGTAGTTAAGGGTTAGCGTTTGAGTCATTTCCCAGTGGGCTTTGCAGAGTGCAGATAACAGCAATCTTTATGTGAGTGTTGTCCCCTCCAATATGAGTCTCACCTCTGCCTTTTTAGAAAGCAGGCAGTTCTAAACACAAGAACTAAAAAATTTATGTGTCCTTTCATTCGCTCAGACTGTTTTGTGTGGGTGCTCCACTACAAATGTATACAGTATTGTCCCTCTACTTTCAGCCACTCAGTAAACAAGCTTTTTTTTTCTTTCCAATTGTTTGTTTGGCTGTGCATCTGATTTTCTCAGTTCCACACATGACTCAGAAAAAAAAAAGGCAGCTTGTTTTTGCTGTGCTCTTCTGTAGCTTTCTCTAAACTCCACTTTTTTTTTTTTTTTCTCCATCTCCTATCATTTCATCTTTACTCCTCTGCCTCACCACTGTATGTCGTTATCTCACCGTCTCCCCCTTTGATCTCTCGGTCTCCTCTCCTTCCTCTCGCCTCCCCTCAGGCTCCCCTCAAGCCAGTGGAACGGGAACCCTCCAGATATACCTGATCGACGTGAACGACAACGCGCCGGTGCTTATTCCCCGGGAGGCTCAAGTGTGCGAGCGTGCACGCCCCAACTCCAAGATCAACATCACAGCTTCGGATGCCGACGCCGACCCCAACGTGGGACCGTTTGTCTTCGAGCTGCCGTCTTTTCCTGCCAGCGTTCGTCGCAACTGGACCGTTTCCAGACTGAGCGGTAATTAAATGCTATACGTTGTCTTTAATACAGTTAGGTCCCATGAAATTGACCCTTTTGATGTAAAATTATGGCGGTGGGGTGCATCCCTAGCTGAATGAAACCATGAACTTGATGAGGGATTTTAAAAAAACAAAACCCTCAGCAGAAAAAACTGGCAACATTAAGCAGGGACCAGAGATTGCTGTAAGCTGTGAGTGAAGTCCAAGTTTAACAAAATGTCTCACAAATCTCACAGTGAGGGACGTGGGTGCCATCCAGTGTTGATGTACGATCTATCGTTTGTGACAAATGAGATCCATTCATCTCTCTGTCCCCCGAGCAACCGATCTGTCACCTAATCCACCCAGATGGATGTATCACAGCATTTGTCTTGAGGACAAATCTGATCACATACCTGGATTCTTCTCCCACTGAGGCTCTTGTCTTAGGATGACTGAGTGATAGATGCTGAAGGTTTACATATATATATATATAAATATCCTTAATGCCCCCTCGCATACATACCCGTCAGAATGATTGCTGTGGAGTTTGTTTGGTTGCAGCTTTGATTCGGTACGTCAGTCACTCGTACCTACGCACATGATGACATGATATCCTGCAGTAAACAAAATGTAATTTCTCTGCAGTACACTGTCTAATCTCATTTTCCCCTTCTTCTTCTCCTTCATGTCTTTTCCCCTCCTACTCACTCCACCTTGTAACGTTTCCCCCATTCTCTTCTGTTTAACTCCCTCTCTGCAGGCGATTATGCTCAGATGAGGCTAAGGATTCCTTACCTGGAGGCAGGAGTGTACGAGATTCCCATCATTGTGTCCGACTCGGGAAACCCTCCACTCTCCAACCGCTCTGTGATCAGGGTCAAAGTATGTCCCTGTGATGACAATGGAGACTGTAGCGCCACAGGAGCTGTGGCAGCCGCCGGCCTCGGCACCGGGGCCATCATCGCTATACTCATCTGCATCATCATCCTACTCAGTGAGTACGACAGCGTGGAGAGATCAAACCTAAACGCCGTCGGATCCCCGTGTCAGTATGATGTATATCTTGAAAGACCACGGCAGTTTTTCAAAACAACTTCTTCTTTTTGTGGCAGGCATGGTTCTGCTGTTTGTGGTGTGGATGAAGCGCAGAGAGAAGGAGCGGCAGGCGAAGCCCCTGCTGATCGACCCTGAGGACGACGTCAGAGACAACATCCTCAAGTATGATGAGGAGGGCGGAGGAGAGGAGGACCAGGTATCGTAAATGTATATCTGAAATCTGTTAAACAGTGGCAGCATCTTTGAGAAATGACAAACTTCTATCTTGTTTTTTAAAGATCTTCCACAAAAAGTCAGGAATTTGTAATAAAATAGACACAAATCAAACCAACATATATATTCTAAAAATCCACAAAGAAACTATGTATTCAATGGTATTGATCAATAATATTAAACTAAAACTAACGGTTATTTCAGCTGATTGTTTGCTTGATAGTTTTGTCTATGAAATGTACTTACAATCGTCCCACAGATGCAGATTTCTTGTTATTTGACCATGAAACCAAAACAACAAAGTGTTCCATTGATATCGTATTAGACAGAAAAGCATTTCATCTTCATATTTGAGAGGCTAAATCCATAGACTGTGTATAAAAGATGAACTAACATCGCCCACTGAAAACCCAAGGACATCAAACACCGCTGTGGTTGCAACCTGTCGATCACAAGGTAGCCAATGCCCTAAAGCGTACCCAGTGTTTATTTTATTTTAAATGTGACCATAGCGTACCAAAAGAACACCCCTCTGTATTAAAGGAGACTTGAAACTAGCAATATTGACCATAAACTTGTTAGAAAATGATTATCTAGGCAACAAATCCCTTTTGAAGTAGGGTCATTTTCTCATAGATTTCAATGCAATCTGGCTTTTTGCAGCTGGAGGAGTCGCCATCTGCTGGCCATTACAAAGAATGCAGGTTTAAGGCACTTCCACACTTATCAGACTTGAGGTTAAGTCTGTCTTTTATGTACAGTCTATGGATGGAACCAGCAAATATTTGGCATTTTTGGTTGAAAAATGACAAACAATTTTTACAATAATTGCGCATTAAGTGTTGCAGCTTTGCAGTAAATAATTGTGATGCATTCAGAAAGTGGAGCTACTAACATTTTGACTTGTTGTAGCTGGAAAAGCACAGGTATAATGAATAAAATCATCAAATGAGTCATTTTCATTAAGCATCCCAGGAAACCATTTCATTGATTGAGAATGGCTGCATCTATCGTTGTTTCCACAAGTAAATTGCGGCACAGAAGAGAAACAGTCAGTATGCCATAACTGACCATTTTTATAAAACTACCAAAATTGTGAACGGGGAAGAAAATAAGAGAGGACAGAAAGTTGTACCCCTGCTGGGAGGCCAACCACCCACTGACAGAGCACTGGGGGTATTGAAACCAAAACACACTTTAAGTAAAACACCACAGTAATAAAAATGTGCCACCACAAACCATATTACAATCAAAAGTGAGCGAACTGCCAGCACACAAACACTGGTGGCTGGAGGCCAAAACCAGCCACAGCACAGAAAACGCAAAGAGACAGGATTAAAACCCTAAACTATGTAAAAAATCAGCTCTACAATAAAGAATAAAAACAGTAAGGACTCAAATACCTCATACTAAGATAAACTGCAGTCAGCTTGAAAATAAGCAGAGCACTGTTACAATTTGGCTGTGAGGTAACATAATTTGCAATGCTAAATTAATACATTGTGTACCTCGGCACCAGCTTAAAGTCATCCATCTCTTTTCGGCTTTTCTACCTACAATAAAAGTTATGGTAGACACAATACATCAGTGATTAAAAAAATACAGTGCCTCAGGGTACTTGCACCCCTACTGTACCCAAGCAATAAAAGAGTGAAATGAGAATAAAACATAGTTTAAAATAACAACAGATTTGACTACCAGAGCCACAAGTGTACACACAATCTCAGCCATGTGGAGAGAACACTCAAAGCACTGTAGTCTCCTCACCTGCTGGTCAAATGCATACTTATTAGTGTGTGCCTCTCACCTGATTGGCTATTGAACCATGCAGTGTTCTTGTGCTACAAATACGTGATTGAATATGCCTGTGCTTTGGCATATCAAAACCTGCTGTTACAAACAAGCAATAAATATGAGACAAACACATAATTTTCTAAACAAGAGCTTAACATTGATCACAAAACAAGTTGTACAGGTTTTTACAACAGTCACATCAGAAGTTTTTTCCTGTGAAGCATCTTTGCATCCATCACTCAAAGCAACACCAAATCCTTCAAAGTAAACCTTATACACTTCCCTAGTTGTTTCCTCAAAAACATATGCTGATGAGTCAGAAGTCAAACTAATTATAGAACAGCCCTTTCAATAAACGCCTTAATCCTGTTCCTCATTGGCAGTGATGCTGTTTACTCAGAATACAGCAGCGTACAATAGGTTCTGACATACAAAAGCTACTGACATATTAAAGCTTCCCGCGGACTGTCTGAGGAAAAATAAACCTCGCTCGTGCCTTTTTAAACACAACGTTAACATTTTCTGACAAGTTCAATTTCACATCAAAGTGAACCCCCAGATATTTGCATAGAAATTGGTGATGCAGTTTATTTCTTTTTTTTTTTTCTCAAAGGTCAACAAATTGTTCTTCTGACTAAAAGAGAAATGGGTGGAACACAGATTAGTTCGTCTGCCACAATCATAACATTAACTAAATGTTAAACAAAATTAGTCCACAGACTGTGGAGAGCACTCACACACTCCAGTATACAACAGAGTACACCCCTGTGCAGTATTACTTGAATGTCAGTTGATTCAAAACTGCGTCACCTTACAGTAACTGCATTACTTCTAAGATGAACAGCAGGGAATTTGCTCTTGTGTAAAGGGGGCTGTGTTGCTCTACCTTTAAAATACCACAAAGGTCTCCTGTTGCATTCAAGTCAAGCGACATACTCGCCCAGGTCATGGCTTTTATATTTTCCTTCTATAGAAACTCTTATGTGATGTTGGCGGTGTGCTTTGGATGATTGTCATGCTGCAGGATTCCTTTTCTGCCGCAGACTGGGAGTCATCTTGTCAGCCAGTACTTTGTCATCCACGGGCATTCATAGTCCATCCATTAGTGTCATCTGCCCTTTTGCTCTCATTCAGCCCCATATGATCACACTTGCAGCTCGATGCTTCATTGTCTTGACTGTGCATTCTCTGTTGTAGTCCTGGCCAGTTTCAAACACACTAGGTTGAAGAAATTTATCTCCACCATCATGTGATCAATGAATGCGCTTCCAATACCCATCAGGCTTCTTTTCATGTTTTCTAACAAAGTTTAACCTTGCAGTTTTGTACTAAAGAAAAAAGGTTTTTTTTCTTCTTTCTTTTTTTATGTGGTTCATAGAGGTTGCTCTTATGTATTATTGTTCACCCTGTTGGAGTTGTCACAGAAACACTCCTTTCCATTGATACTCTCTGTGCATAGTCCAAAGCACTAACCTTCAGTTTTTTTTTTTTGTTGTTGTTGTTTTTTGTTTTTTTGTCTGTGGCGTAATTTTAGGAGCACAACCTCTGCAGCTGTGATTAGTTGCACCGTGGCTCATTCTATAACGTATGAATACTTCTGCAACTGGGTTTCAACTCATTTTCTGTGACTGATCTCCCTGCATTCAAGATTCAAGAGGTTTATTGTGACTGATGTGCCCAGAAACTAAACAGTTACACAGGACAATGAAAGCCTTATTTAGCCAATCCTCCTTAACCAAGTGACACAATGTATAAAAGTGCATAAAAACTACTCTTTACCATCTTTGTGAGGTCTCACAGTCAGATTTTTTTTTATTTTTAAAAAACTTTTGGTGTTCACAGGTCATTTTATAACCATGTTCATGCAGTTAGGCAAAGTGGAAATCACAGGTGGACTCAATTTAGCATCAATGGTCACAGAGCTTTTTTTTTTTTTATTGATCACAGGTGTGTTCAATATGTTTGCAGAGAGTTTCTTATTTTCTTCTCTTTATTCTTTTCTTCTTGTTTTTGATTGTTCACAAGATAAAATATTCTACTGATCAACTTTGAAACAATGCTGTTGTTAAAATATGATGCAGTTCTGAGTTTGACTTCCAAGTGACGTTTCACATGGAAGCTTCAGTTGTTTGCCGTTTCTAGATCTTAAACACTCTAGTACCAGATAGCTGCAGTGTCTCAAGGCATATGTTCAATCTAAAGCACCTGAATCAAGATTTACTAGGCACAGCTATTTATATTCTGCGAGAGAGCAGCAACGTGAACTCATCAACCTGTTATATTTACATTTTATAATTGCGCCACTCATCTGATGTGCATCTTTTAATTTAGAATAGCAGAAATCCACCATAAACATATAAGTCGTACAACGATCACATTCACAATAATTGGCATGCATGTAAATATAAACAAACTGAGACGTTCTGTTTCTGTATAATGTCTAGACATTACCTGCATGATGAAGGTACAGAGGCTCAACAGGTGCAGGAAGATACAACAGCTATCCATTATAGCCCTAAAAAAAAGCATAGTATGACTCAACAAATGATAAAGGAAGAAGCAGAAATATTAATTTATTGATGTCATACAGTATATTAGAAGCAATGCTTTATTACACCACAGCTGCCATCTGCATGTAAACATGTTTATTGGAGCTACTTCTGTGTTTTCAACACTTTGCATTGTGGGTAATTCCGCTTAAGCTCTTCGTGCTCCCAGATTCCATGCAGGTTGCTTAGTGTATAGAGTTTCACACAGGAAATGCAATAAAATAATGTAGCAAATTTGCCCAAAGCAGACAGCATTAGCACTAAATATGGTTGATTTTTAAGTGTGCAGTTTGTGGACGCTGTTCTCCAACAATGCTCTCCATGAAGCAAGATGAGGAGCTGCTCCTAGCTGAAAAACAGAAGCCCAAACAGCTGGAGAAAAAAACACTTACTTTAATTTTTTTTTCATAAAAAAGCATTTTCCGTGTACTAATTGCCATAACAGTTCACTTTGACATTCAGTGACATATGTGTTGCAGACCTGCAGATTTAGAAAAGGAGCTCAAACTCTTGAAAGCCCAGTTTTACAGCAGATCAGTCCTGAGCCCTCACAGATGCAACAAGAACACACATCAAGGTCTGACAGTCTTCGAAACAAACAAACAAGGAGAGCTGACCAAAGACTAAATTCCAAGTTGTAAACTGAAGCTGAACCCAAACACAATGTATGTGTCTTCTCTAATTAGAGAATGATGATGATGATGATGATGATGATGATGATGATGATGATGATGATGATGATGATGATGATGATGATGATGATGATGATGACGACGATCCTCATCAGCATACTGACTCCCAGTTTTCCCTACATGGCCTTCATTCAGGACTATGACTTGAGCCAGTTGCAGCAGCCCGAGTCTCTGGAGCACATCATCAATAAGCCATCGGGGGTGCGCAGGGTGGATGAGAGGCCTGTGATTGCAGAGTCGCAGTACCCCGTCAGACCCAGTCTGCCCCACCCTGGAGACATAGGAGACTTCATAAATGATGTGAGTTCAAGACTGAGACCTTTTCTTACAATGTCTTTGAGAGATTCTGGTGTTGTCTTTTTTTCATGAACTCTTTCTGTTTTAAAGCTGGACACTCAAGCGTTGCACAGACTGTTAATGAGCTCACTGCTGTGAGTCATACAAAAGACTTATACCTGCACAAGCTTGTTTTTAATGGTCAAGAAGAGGTAGTAGAGTTAGTTAATATCTGAAGATGAAATTCTGAGATTTACACTTTTTTGAGGAAGAAGAATTGTGTTCCTGTCAGCTTCTAGAAATGTTTGTTTCTGTACACAGCCCAGTGTCTGGCTGTGAACCAACAATCAGGTTATGATAGAACATTAAAACCCAAATGGCTGGCTGGGCCAAATGAGACAAGTTTATTGCAACTTTTATAGTTTGGTACCCAGAACCTGCTACTCTGTAAAACAATCAGCTCTTTCATTGTGGTGAACAGCAACGATTGGCCTAAATCCAGTTTGACAAACACACAGAAGAGGAAATCCTGTCACTCAGTCGGGGTTCTGTCTGTTCTTGTCTTTCTGCCTCCAGGGTCTGAGGGCAGCAGACAACGACCCCACCGCTCCTCCCTACGACTCCCTGCTGGTGTTTGACTACGAAGGCAGCGGTTCTACCGCCGGCTCTGTCAGCTCGCTCAACTCCACCAGCTCAGGAGACCAGGACTATGACTACCTCAACGACTGGGGCCCTCGCTTCAAGAAGCTGGCCGACCTCTACGGAGGAGGGGACGATGACTGAGAGCGGGGCGGGGGGCTGGGCGGGGCTGCGGCAGGGGTCAGGAGAGGCGGGACTGGTTGGATGGACGTTCCCATAGACCACAGGCAGGGGCCCACAACATGATGCCGGCTCCATGGTAGACATGTGAGGAATGGACCCTTTACATGGGCTGCATTAGTTTGCTCACAGCAACCAAGCCCGCAAACATGAATTCCGCTGCAACGCAACTGTATTCTGGCTTTATACTTTTTAGTGGCGAGTTTGTAGTGTGATTTGGTTCCTCTTTGTTTTTGTCGTTCTCTCACCGCGCTGGACCCAGACGTCTCTGGGGACGAATCAAGGCGGTCGTGAGAGGCACGAGTAGTGAATTTGTGCTTTGATTGATTGTTTAAACAAAACCATCTCTTGCTTTAGTCTCACACTGAAGAGAATGTTTTCGGGAAGTTGCTCTCTGACTCTCTCTTTAACTCTGTCAACTTGAATTTCCTTAGAACAGAAGCACTGTCATTTTATAAAGTGCCTTTTGTGGTGTGTTTTTGTATCAGACTCCTGCTATCTCAGGATCGGTTGCCATTCGTGCAGTACAGTGGAGGCGCGTTCTCTCGTCGCTCCTCCGCGCTCCTCAAACCAGCCCTGCCTGTCACTCTCCTCCCCCTTTCACAGTGGTGCACATGAACAACCCCAGCAGCCAGTCCCAGGAGGGAAGGACAGAACCAGGGCAGACTATCGGACATCACAACCCAATGAATTATGGCCTGAAAGAAGCCAATAAGAGTTGTTGTGGAGAAGACAACCCTCCTCTCCAAGGACCTGCTCAGTTTGACTTTCACAAGCATCACCTGTCAACACAGCAACAGCAACACGCTGACATTGTGTGAGACCATTTTTATACAAAGTGAGGGTTTTATAATTTAGTGGAGAATGCCTGCCTTTCCTCTTTGGACTCATGAGTTTAGGAGCCTTTATGTTGAGACGCTTGCCTGCCCTATATGGTTTTATGTCGCTTTCTCCACAGTGTAAAGCTTATGTAGGCATGATCTGATTATTCAGACAGTGTAAGAAAGTGGAACTTGAAATGACTTGGAACAACACTATCTAAGAAAGATTTTTTTGTTTGTTTTGTTTTTTTTTTTGTCGCCTTGAACATTCCCGTTTTTTATAGGCCAACGAAACTATTGAAAGGTGCATGATTTTTTTTCCTCCAAATGTTTTACTCAAAGCACTTGTTACTATGTGGTGAGAATGTGAAAATAGTCAGCAGAAACTATATGAATATACTCTGTATAAAGACACCGAGAAAATAAAAATACTGTAAGATACATATTTTTGAAGTATTGATGACATAAAAGTTGCTGCTCTCTCTCTCTGGCTCTACATTGGGGCTTTGGGGGGATTTTTGGCCCATTCATTTTTAATATGTGGATATTTATGTTTGTCCTCTGTTGGAGCTTTTTAATTCCATTTGTTTCAGATGCCTGCCTATACATTTGTTGTTTCGGTTTTGCTCTTTTTATTTCCAAAAAATGCTTTGTTATACTCCTTTTATATATGAAAACACGCCCTCCCCCTTTCAGTCTTTATTGTCTCTGGCAGACGTGTTCCTCTTGTTGGTTTCTGGCCTTGGGACAGTGGAAGGTTCATTAGCCATGCCTGCTGATAGTTGTTCTATTATTCAGTGTACTGGAATTCTTTTATTAATTCATCTAGATACTGGATGTGTGCTTTAGAAAATAAACGACACATGTTTTGAAAAAGTGCCATCATTTTTGAATATGTTCAGGTGTATGCTGAGTGACATAGCATGACCTGGTTTGTTCAACAGTTGTCACTTCAAATATACTGTTACTGGAAGCTTTAAATAACAATGGGCCTCTGTGATCTTGTTTTTTAAAATCATGCCAAGACTAAGGCTGCTGTGTGTTGGCTTTCTGGCACTGGCACTTCTAGTGGTAGTATCAAAAAACAACACCGTGGCAGACAGAAATGAATGCCGCTACCCCACACGTGCTCATTGACCACTGATGTTAAATGGGCTGAAAGCAGCACAGAGTGCATCCATTTTCACCAGGACTGTCTTATTATTTTTTATTTTCAAATATGCTGTAATCACAAAAAAAAAAAAAATCCACGCATAGTGGTTTTCAATTCCCTGCTTTTCCACCGTTATTTGTTCTCGACACAATTTGCACATACAGTTTGCAAATACAAATGTTTTGTGTATGCACACTTAATAGTTGCATCTTCTTTGTTTTTGTGTTTTGTTTTGTTTTTTTTACTGTGGAATAACGTATTTGTAAGTCTTAGAAAGAGTCATGAAGCAGAGCCAACTCCCCGCAGGATTATGCAGTTAATCTTTGACCCTATTGTTTGGATATAGCTTCATTTTCTAATGAAACCCTCACTGTTGGTCCTTTTATTGCATCACAGACGAAGGATTGTTAGAGCAGTGTGCAGGGTCAGGAAGTATATTTGTGTCCATTCCTGTGATTTCAATTAGTCAGCTGAAGCGCCAAAAAACCCACTGGGGACTTAAAGGGATTTAATCCTCTCCGGCTGTGTGTCTATCAATTAGCCACACCATTAATCCCCACGGCGTAATCTCATTAGATAGAGCGCCTTTAATGAGACACCCAGAGAGAAAGCAGAGAGGCAGGCTGCAAGAGAGAGGGAGAAAAATGAGGTGGTGCCAAGATGCAGGTAGGCCATGTGGAGAGGTGATTAGTAGGATGGAGGAGAGGGTCAGCAGAGGGAGGGGTCCAAGGAAGGGAGGATCAAGCACAGCGGGAACAATGCATAACATTTAGAAAATGGTTTCAGGAGGGGGAAAAAAAAAAAAGCTTAAATATGAGGGAGTGGAACAGAGTGATACTTCAGTGTCCGCTGTGGGCACAAATTAGAGGGCTGGGCAGTGCAGAGGTAGAGAAGACAGGTAGAGGTGAGCAGCGCTGATGGAACGCACTGGACACGTTAATGAGAGGTGCTTTGATTCCCCGAGTAACCCAGTAATGAGAACATCCAGTGATAAACCTAAGTTAACCTTTACTGTGGTACAATAATGAATTCTTCTGTGGACCCAGCAGAACTGTGGACCTGTGTTAATGACAGAGCCATCATGATGGATTATTATTTCAGAGCCATTTCTCTAAAATAATAATCAAATTGGTAAAAGTCATCTTGGTCACAGCCAGTCGGCAGATAAGGAGATTAACTTAAGGGAAGGGCTCTTTGATGGGCTTAGCTGAAGTTCACTCGGTTTCCCTGTGGCAGATAGGCAGAGTGAAAGAAGAAAGCAAACTCAAGTTGCCCCCTTGATAAATGGCAAATATAGACTGAGAGCTTTGCTGCTGGCTTGCAGCCAGTGCCTTGTGTGTTGTAAATAAAGTTCTCTTCTTCAAACATGTCCAAGCCTGGCTCTTTTCATTTCCTCTCCATATAGCTAGTGAGTCTCTTGGGCTGATGCTGGGAACAGTCCAATCTGAAAAACACCACCGGATGTTGGTTCTGATGCCGGCTGTGTGATCAACTGTTCACAGTTTAGTGTTGATGTTGTTATTCAGCAGAAGTACCGCCCAGGACGGCCAGGCTCTGCTGGCTGCTTTTCTGCTGACACCACTCCGAGCCTCCCGCTATTTCAGGACTCGTACTAAAATGAGATCAAAGCAGCAGAATAAATTTGATGTTCCTGCTGTAAGTGGGAGGAGAAAATATGTAGTGTTTCACGACCAGCCGTTTATGATATGGATGGCCGATCCTGTGGGGACACTGCACTATTACCAAGACACGCCCTGCTTATCCGAAACACCGTATGTGCACTATCAAACTAAATTTCTAAACAGCATTTCCTGCATATGATGATTGCTTCTGTATTGGTATCTTATCAATAACAGGAAGGTATTTATGTATTATCGTAACTATTCTAAGTGATAGAGAGTTGCTAGATTACATATCAGAGGAATACGTTGTACTTGCTTTATGTTTATTCGACAAATAGTTATGAATTAACTCGTGAATTACATTTTGCATGTTAAACATGTAAAAAAAACAGACTTAATGGGACATAAAGTGGGACTAATACAGTAGCTTGTAGTGGAATTGTTGCCCTGGCTAGGAAAGCAAAAGCCCCCAGGTCATTGCCTGTTAGTTACACATAATTTAACTGCTGATTTGTAACACTGCAGGTCTTTTTCACAGCAGCCATCTCCACTTGTCAGGGCAGGAAAAGCACAGGTTCTGCTTATTACATTATAGATGGCTCTGTTGCATTCAGTTGTGCCATGAAAGTGTGATTGTGATCTACAGTGTACAGTACCAGGACACTGCAGTGGTGTTCATGGTTCCCAGAGGATGATCACCTCTGGGATCTTTCCAGTACAACTGTAAAAAGGTAAAATTCAATATGGTAGAAATGCACTGTGTATTCAGTGCTAAGCTACAACAATAGTAAACATGATGTCACCGTTTGCATTTTATCACCACTGTGCAGAAGTTTAGCCTCAGTAAGAGACACATGTTTGGCTTTCATATTCTTCACAAAGTCATCCTGTGAAGACTTGATTCAGTCTGTTCAGTGACACACAAAGCGACTGCTTACCAATGAATGCATCAAAAACCTAAACTTCTGAAGGCGCCGTGTTTGTACTGCAGCAAAAATGTCGGATGTTCTCCTTAATTTATGCATGAAGTTGAGCTTGCTTGTCACATTGAGTATAATCCTAACAAGCCTGTAAAAACAAAACATGTGTGAACAACTTCTGTGACTCTAGAGGGAACTTGAGACTTAAAATATTTAGCAGAAAGCTTGTGTTACAACCAGACGTGTGAAACTGGGTCTAGATTAAGACACTTATCAAATCGTATTTTGCATTTTTGGAGCTTGCGTCACATTAGAGACTCAAAGCCTCTGCTGCTCCGTTTGGTTGTTGTTACAGTACGTCTGTGGGTCTCGCAACTGTATGGCGCTGGAATACTACAGAACTGCAGCACCCCTTTAATGCAGACCTCATATTAAATGTAAATGT